ATTGAGAAATAATATTTAATTAAATATTTATTTCCTTCAAGATCCATTTCTAAAAGTACAAAGGTCATTAAAAAATATAGCCTAATCTATGTTGCTCTTTATCATATCCATTACATCTGGCATTCTCGCGAACGTTAATGTGAGTCTAGGCAACCTAACAAACGTCTGCACAAAACATGTAAAAATGCTGTACTTGGTACAATTCTAGTCAGTCTTGGCCGAATCGATTAGCTACCGAATCTCTCTTGAATGTACATTTCATAATTCACGCGTTAATTGTAATTCACGGTATTAAGTATTTACGGCAGTGGATTAAAACAAAATCATAGATATATTTTTAAATCACAGCAAGCATTCGACGATAATAAAGCATCAACAAGTACACAGACGAGGGCAAATTGATAGCAAGTTACGAATGGTTTAGGGATCTATTTCAAAATACTTCAGAAGGGATCTCAACTGCCGAAAAACAGATCTTCATAGATTTCACATCCAGTGACGAAATTAAAGAGCAATTTTTTAATAAATCATTCTTTGAATTCTGGATAGAGGTGGATGTTGAATTTTCTGCACTGAAAACAAAAGCATTTCGTATACTATTACCATTTTTAACAGCATACCTTTGTGAATCCGGATTTTCTGCGATAGCTACTTTGAAGACAAAATATAGATCTGAGCTAAATATCAAAAAATAACTTTGAGTGTGTCAATTTCTAATTTTTAGCCTTCCTCCAAAAAACTTTTCTCTGCAAGACAAGCCCATGGAAGTCACTGATATTTATTAAACTTGTTCTTATACTGGCTGAAGTACCCACTCTTAACACGAGTTTTATTTTTTTTAAAAATGATAATATATTATTCTTGATATAATAGCTTAATTGTAAGGAGAGTAAAACCAAGTGAATGAAAATGTATACAAAAATGTAAAATGATTTATTGAAATGAATACTCATATTATAAACGGTTTTGAATGAACTGTAATTTTAAGCCTCGCAGAATTAGCATTTAGAATAAATGTTAAGTAATAAAAAAAGAATATAAAATTCTAATGAATAACAATTGTGCTATTTTTTTAATATTTAAAGCGAGAAAGCCCGGGATCAGGTGTGCACTCGATACTAACGTTAATGGTCGCGGGGAGTGAAGCACCCCAATTCTTTTTTTTATAATTATTTTCAATATACAAGATAAAAATCACAATTTCAGTGAATAATTTAACTAAGAGAAAATATACTTACCTATTTCAAGGATTTTTCTATTTGTCTTTCATAGTTTAGAAAATATCCAATAAAACTGAACTAAATTGTTCCAAATGTGCGTGACCTTAATAAAGGACAGAAATCACAGACACTTTTTGCTAACATTACAGGTAAGTTATTTGCAAGCAAAACTGTCACATTTTGTTCACGTTATTGTAATTTTAATGTCCTTTGATGATCGACAACTATCCTGTTGAACTTTTTCTTGCTTGTGTCTTTTTGACAGGGTGAAGTGCATTTTGCTGTACACTTATGGCTTCATATTTTCTTAATAAAGTTCTTAATGTAGCTATTGAAAATTTTCCTTTCGTTTCATGTTTATTGCTTTTCTCAAATTTACTTTCGCTAACATGATTAATATGCATTATTTCAGCAAATGTTTCCCTTGTTTGATCAGCTTCAATTTCCTTTCAGAGGGATTACAGATGCCCAATTCTTTTTTTTTTTATATTCTGCTCATTTACATTTATAAACCATAATCAGTCGTACAACATCACAATTAAAACCACTAAGTTATTCATAGGGAAAAATGCAGCATGTTCAAGAAAATATTTTTTAAAAATAGTGGTCGTGCCGGGAACTCGGTCTAAACAAGTACCTTAAGATTCTAAGAAAACGTTTGCCACTCCCAAAAAAGGAGATATGTTATCAATTCATTTTAGCTCCCATTAAGACTGTCATATTAGAGGATTCTCTGTCAAGGTCATTGGTAACAAATAAACAGTTTTCCCAGAATTAACGATTTTTGTATATGTTTCAGTATTCTCATAAAAATAAATCTTGGTCAATTAATCCTTCAAAGTGCTCAATATGCTTATCCATGTATCATAAAACTCTTTCACATTGTGAAAAAAAAAGCAAAAAAAATTATATTATTTTCAACTTCCCTAAAAAAAAGGGATGCAGGTAACCATACAAGTAAGTTTGAAAGCCAGCAAAAGTAATATTTTAGATTAAAAGAAACGTAATAAAAAAATCTCTCATCGTAGGATTGCAGCAAAACAAACAAAATATTTTTTTTATTTAGTTATAGGATCAAAGATAGC